AATATAATTTAACCAAGTTTTACTTTTACCATTTAGACGTCTGTCTAAACTCTTAATTTCGTCCAGCAACTTTAGATATGAAACTAATATAGAATTGTATAGTTTAACACATTTTCAATAGAATCTAATTATAATTTTTAACACATTTTATTATTTTTTAAAAATCTTTTTGTTTAATAAATATTTATAATACCATTTATACTTACAATTTAAAATATTGTATGGTATATTATTTTTTAATGATCTCAATACAATATTAATTATCCAATTATTTTCTTATTAAATAAACCTTAAAATAAAAATATATTATAAATAAACTTATTAAGGTAAATTTTAAAATTTTTCTTCTATTTTTTTCTTACCCAATACTAATGAAATATCAAATCCTATATCATTTTCAGTTATAACTGATGCATAATTATTATTTAAGTCATACTTGTTATCAATTTTAATATAGTATTTTTCATATTTTTAAGTATTTTTTAGCTATAGCTGACCTATTAATGTTAGCTGATAAAAATACTCTAAACTTATTTCTTCAGATGATAAATCAGGCTGTTGATAATAAAGGATAAATTCCTTCAATTTAATTAAGTAGTTCGTTAATTAGATAATGTAAGATCATCTATAGGTCTGCATTTTCTTTGGTTTATCTATCATTATATATTAAAAATCTATACAATTTTTTATCATCACATATTTCTTTTTGATTATATAATACTTCTTGTAAAACTTCTTTATTAGTATATTATATTAGGTTAGTATTTTAGCTTTTATATATTTAGCTGTTTTATAATCTGCTCTACAATTAATTATTATATTATTCATATTTGTTGAGTTAAGTTTAATCAGTTAATTTGTGATATGTATGTTATAAGAACATTTGATAGTAAATTTGTATTTAAAATTTTTATTTTAAGAGAATATAAAGCATTAATTTGAGATAAATATACTTTTGATATAATTTGTACTTTACATAAATGCATATTATTATAAATTTTTAAATTATTATGTAATATTTTATTTTAATAATCTTCTATATACCTGCCAATTCTATTACATTCACATTAACAAGAATTACCATTCCTTACACAATACATTACCTATTGTCAATCTTTCTTTACTCTTACTTCAATTGTTTAACTAATTCTTTTACCTTTTCTATTAATTTAATTATATCATTAATTTGATTAGTTGACTTTATTTGATTAGTTTTTGTTTTCCATTTCATAAAGTTAACAGTTCTTTCAATACGTTTAACTGAAATAAATCCTTCTTTGATTAATTTAGAAGTTTTTTTCAACTCTGACTTTTTCAACTAAATATTTTTAAGCATAGAATGACTTTTAAGATAATGTTCTGCAACTTGGCTAAATGAAATATTAATAGAATTTTTAGCAGTATTATATTAAATAAAATTTTCAAAATTATTCATTATAATATTAAAAAGTAAAAAATTGAATAGATAAAATATTGTATACAAATTGAAAAAAAATGAATGAAGTGAGAGTTAACATGTGTATAAAAAGTTACATTAAGGCTTAAAGTATTATGCAATATTTATATCATGTAACACATATTTTTTATTATTTTATCACATAATTAATTATTACATTTTAGGTTAAGAAAAATATATTTTTGATATGCATAAACCTGCATACCTACATATTTTGATCAGATTAAGAAAGTAGTATGAGAGGGTCAAAAAGGTAATTTTTGCATCTTTATTATGGGTTTACTAATTTACCTCCAAGCTCTGATTGGCTGGTATAATTGAGATTAGTTAGGATTAGGATTAGAGCTTAGGTGATTATCACAAGTAATACAAAAAGGTGTGGAGTCCTGAAGAGATGATTAGTGGTATACAGTGATGTTTATTATGACTAGAGAACGGTATCACCGTTGTGAAGTCCGGAGCTTAAGATCATGTGAATTAATTATGTCAATATCATTGAATATGTTATTACGTCTAATAAAAATAAATACAACACATTTTAGGGAGAATTTATTAAATCTATCGCTATGTTGCGGGCAGTTTCTTTTTAGGAAAATGTACCACGGTATTTATAAATAGCCGATATTCGTCGTCTCAAATGATAAGCGACTGGACAAACAGACACAATGCATAGAAAGTAAATAGTCCTTCGCTAACACTCCGGACTAATTATATGACATTTGTGTGAAGCATACTCAAGTTAATATACAACTTCCAACTCACATTATTATAATTTTAGCTGGTTAATCTTATTCATTACTTGAGTAAATGTCATGTAAGGTGATGTACACTACTTATCATCTTCACAGGACTCACCAGTGTGATACTGGTAATGTTTCAATTTTATTAAGTATCTGGAGGACTTAGAATTTTTTTTTGGGTAGTGATGTTTATTTGTCATCCCCCTCAATACGTAACAAATAATAATTAATATGTATACCAGCCATTAGTGAAATCCTTCATCATCATTCATATATAAGAATTGTGTAATGGCAATATGATCAAATAAATGATGTCATTTCTATCTATATAATTAACTAATTTTTTTATTGGAATCGACCTATTCTCTCTTTTTTCATTTAATTTTCTACAAATGGATAACATAAAACTGTATTGTCTTGTTCAAGGAAATACAATTGATCATGCCTTTCCCGTCGAATTTGATAGAAATAAGAGTATTGGTGAATTCAAGCAAGCTATTAAGGAAAAAAAGCCAGAGTTTAAAAACTTCGCTGCAGAAAGGCTTAAAATATGGAAAGTTCAGATTCACAACGATAGTGATGAGCTAAATAAGCTTATACTCCATGACGACGATCGACTTCTCATAAAATCAAGGAAGATAAGCAGTTACTTCACCAATAAAATACTCTGCGATCATATCCACATTATTGTCAAACCACCTTTACCTCCTTTTAGATTTGATCTTATTTGTAATTTAGGACTTTTGTCCGAAGGAGACAGTGTAGAATACTTAGGCAAAAGTTGTAATTATAAAGCAACAATACGTGAAGGTCGTCTTTGTATCAAAGATCAAATATATCATTCATTTACAGAATTTATACGAGCAGCAAGGAAATTAAAACAAAACGAAAAACCTAGTTATCTTGATTTTCAAAACCTAAAAATTAATGATATGGCTTATTGGGAAGTTCGCGATAAAAATCTATAACTTGCTTTTTTGTTATAAGCAAGATGAAGACGGGGATAAAGGTATTCTTCTCATTCTTTTTAATCTAAATAAATCTTAAAATTGCTCTGCATGACACTCAAATTGAATTTGCTTAGGAACTGGTGATAGTTCAACTTCCGAAAGAAAACTAATAGAACTACTTACAGTTCCCTGGAATGATATTCTCGAGAATCGCCTCTGTCAGCTATATGCAAAGGATAACGTTGTAGACATATTCTGGGGTCGAAATATTCTCAATGGCGATACAACATGGAGTGTCTACGTGGTTACTCGCGGTAATCTTTATCTACACGAAAAAATAGAGGAGGCAGGTGGTCAAGTAATACGTTTAATATCAGAAGAAAAAGGATTTCTTAACGCTGTGATTCCACCACAAAGCCCCGATGACAATTTGCCAACCCGGAAAAAGGTCCCACAAGATTTACAGAAGGTTTTTGATAAAGCCTTAAACTATGAACTTGGGCCATCGTTCCGTGAAGCGCATTATAATCTTGTCGGTATGAGCACTGGATATAAGCGAACTCGACGCAAATTTACTAAAGAACCTGCTATCATATTATATGTTCGCCAGAAGGGAATTCTGCGCCGTGGGTGTGCTTTATTCCCGGATAAGATTTGTGGGTATCCAGTAGATGTCGTAGAGGCTTGTGCTGCAACTCCCTGTGGTTTTGGTGCGACTGCTTGTCAATCTTTTCAGGAGGAAGTTAAGTTGGGGTCGAGTATAGGCATAATAGAACCGCATAGAACGTCTGGAACTATCAGTGCTATTGTGCAAGATAAACATTCAAAACAAATAGGCATCCTCTCGTGCGAACATGTATGTAGGTTTAGTGAATCGAGTCATGGAACAAATGTTATAATCCATCAGCCTTCGCATGTAGATCTAGATGAACAGAAATTATCGTTTACTTATATGGAAAAACAAAATGTAATGTACAAAAATGCCGCTGAAGAAATGTATAAAATAATTGACAATTTCAGACAGAATTCCGCCCTAGCTAGTTATAAACGTGGCATGCGAAGTCAGTTTTACTCTCAAGCACTTCAAAAAGACTTTGGTGTTGATGCTGCATTTTGTATTTTCACGAACAGAAAGCGTATGTTATGTCCGAATAAATTTTCAACTCCACCAGAAGAGTTCAAAAAAGCAAAGATTCCTGAAAACATCTGTCTAAATGACTTTTATACATATGAAATGTTTGACAACATTGATGAAATAGAAGTTTTTAAAGTAGGAAGAACAACAGGTCTCACTCAAGGAAAATTGGTTCCAATTAGTATTGCTATTGCTGTATCAAACGAAAATATCGAATTCGCAAAGGAGCAAGGCGAAATATCATCATCTAAAACGTATAGTAATATCATAAACAAAAACTTGATTGGATACATGAAGGCGTCTTTGATTCAAATAATCAATGAAAAGCGTCAGCAATGCTATCCTACTTTATGGTTTGATCGACAATTATTATTTGACTTCAGACATGAAGACTTTTTAACCGGAGACTCGGGAGCAAGTGTTGTGGATCAAAATGGAAAGGCCCTTGGCATTCTTCATGCAGCAATGAAGACAGGAAATTCCAAATACGTCATTGCTTCTCCTTACTTTGCAGTTTTTGAGGCATTAAATTTGGAAGGTGCAGATTTTGAAGAAGGATCAAGTTCGTCTAATTAATGTTTTTGTATTAAACGATTCTGCGAAAATCAATGATGATGTAAGGCGTTCTCCAAGGTTTTCATTTTTATAAAATGAATAATGCTTTTTTGGCACTTACATAGTTAAACTTACTCAGTTAAATGATGTTTATTGCAAATGAAAAGTACATGTAGACTTTTATAATGTCTCATTGTCTTTGATAACTTATACCAATAAATTTTACCTGATCTTACATCGAACCTGTTTTTTATGTTTTTTATACATTAAGGATTGTCAGTTGAATTGCACAGTATTCTAATATAAACCTTCTTTCATCACATAATTTGTTCCTGCCTTCTTGAATTATAGTATTCTATTAATTCAGATAGTTGAAGCGGGGGAGGGTTTAATTTTTTTTATTCCTGGTATATAGGAGGTATCTTCTGAAAACTATAATTATCGCAAAACCTCGATTTGTAATGAACAAAGACGCTAAAAAGATCATTTGTAATATTTCGTACAAGCAACTTAAAAGATAATTTTAAATTGGTATTTTCAATAGATGAGGGACGAAACCCAAAAAAGCAATTAATAAACAGCCGAAATTATATTAAAACATAGTGAGGGGTACGACGAAACCCCGAAATTAACCGAAACTATATTAAAAACATAGTTACAGGAATACGACGAAATTATTTTGAGGGAGTTTCGGGAGGCATCTATAGTATTTTCATATCTGGCAAAAAATTTTGTTGCAAAAATGAATACTCTGAAGGTCGGAATTTCTGATCCAATCTTTATTTTTTTAGTAAATTTAATAATTTTATAAATTACTATCTATATACGTATATCGGCCAAAATCTATTCCAGAAGTCAAATGTGAACCGGTACCTAAAAAGAATTTTGGAATTTACTTTTCAAACTTCATACAGGTCAAATAAAGTTTTTTTAATTTATTACTTTTTTGATAATTAAATTTCGATAAATAATTTTTAAAAATCGTTTTTAAATAATTACTTTCCAATCCACCATTTAATATTCTTAGCCAAAAGTTTCCACAAATTATCATCATCTTTAGATTCCATTTTATCATCAAATGATGAAAAATCATCTTTCTCCAAAACTTTTACTTTATGATCATTAATATCTTGTTTTACATCTTGATAAATTCTTTCAAATTCTAATTCAAGATTTAAATAACCACGTCGAACAGCATAAGGAGCAATTGTATTATAAGAACGTAACCTACTGTTTAACTTATTAATAGCTTTCTCATAATATGAAAATTGCCTTTTTTCCCAAGGAATATTTCGGCTGTATGAATCGATGTTATTAATGTTTGCATAGCGAACCCAACTTTCTCTCATACGTTGGCGAAATAGAGAAATTTCTCTATCCACATTTTTTTGATATTCTATCCATGCCGGCACTGAACCTTGTCGTTGTACTAGCCTATTCCTAAAATACAAAGAAAAATAAGTTAATGTAAAGATACAAGAAATAGGAAAAATTAATCATTATTTACTTACATGAAGAATTCCGTACGATCCAAATAAGGGTTCTATCTTAAACGAATATATTAGTGTAAATGTTAAAAAAAGTAAATAATTCCATGCGTTGATAATTACCCTTTCATTTGGATCTGAAGGTAAAGGTTTACCATGATAAGGAAGGTTTCGAAATTCTCCGGCAGCCATGGCCTCTTGAATACGACTCTCCACTAAATTATTCCAACCTGAAATACTTTTTGGTACAACCTTTTGTGATTCATTTTTAGATTCTACGCAAAGTTTTTTATTAATAGTATAATCTGTTGCAGCATCTTTGGCAATTAGTATGCGAGATTGTTTAGCTTCTCGAATTTTTTCAAGTTTCTCGTTTTTTGATACTATTTTTGATCTTTTATTTGATATTACGCTATTTGGAGGAGAATTAGGAAGAGAAGTGGGAGGTAATTTACTTAAAGGTAGAGGAGGAAAATTTGCTTCGAATTTTTCTGATGAATTGTTATTTTTATCACGTGTATTGGTAAATTCTTTAATGGAATTTCTCTTTAATTTTAATGGAGGATATTTATCTACGATCATCCTTAATACCGTTGTTTTAATATCTTCTTCTCCAGTCCATGGTATATCATTTTCTTTTACAAAGGAATTTTTGAGAATTGTATTTATTGATGCTGATGATTTATTTTCATTACCTTCTTGCTTTTCTATAATTGAAGAATTTTCGTTAGGATGATTTGCTGTTGTCTTGAAACGACAATATAAAAGGGAATTTGTGAAAAGAATCTTGGTATTGAATAAAATTACTTGAGTAAATAAATATGTTGTTAAAAGTGAGTTGGTATTTTTGAAACAAATTAAGGGCATGTCTATGGAATTGTAAAAATTCAAAAAAATAAACCAGTGACATTCAAATACAATGTAAATCTCTCCTAATTACGGAAGAATGACATCAACAAGTGTTCGAATTCACACATGACTATCTACCGGGATATTAATGCTTGAACCCAGTTGCGTATCCGGACGTTTGACCGAAAGCCATTTGACCGAAAACTATTTGTCACGCGTATGCATATATAAATAACAATTTTATAGTAACCGTATCAATTGATGTGTGATGTTTAATGCGGTGACAAATAGATTCGGTCAAATGGCTTTCGGTCAAACGTACCGTAACCGAACCGAATTTAATATTTGTATTCAATACCTTTATTTTTGGCTTTTAAGATAGGTCACTTTTGAATTTGATTATTAATCCTAAGGAGCAGTTTTATTGGAAAATTTTAATGTTGAGTTCTGGGTCCTACGTATATGTTTATTTTCAGCATTTGGAAATAGAACATTAAAATTAAAAGAATTGCTAAATGGAGCATTGAGTTCAAATTCATTCTTATAAATAATTAACCTGAAAAATCAGTAACAATTGTTATTATATTATTTTGAAGATAAGTATTTAATGAAGGAATATCTAAACTTTTAAGATTTAATTCTAATTCTTTTATATTAACTAAATGACAATTTATTATTAATCTATCACTTTAATATTGTTTTATAGAATTATCATATAAATGAATGGTTAAAAGTTCTATTCTATCAAATTTTTTTATGGTAATTAAATTATTATTTTGTAAATTATATTTAATTACATTATAACTTTAACTTAATAAATCAAAATATGTATGTATTAAATAATAATTGATTCTTTGATCTTCAATATTTTCAGGATTATAAATTGAAATATTATTTTTGATTACTGGTATAAGAGAACTTCTTTCAATAGTTTTAAAAACACATGTTATCATATAATATGCAGCTAAAAGAGATGTTGTATTTGGTTTTCTATAATTATATATATTGAATGATAAAATCATTAACATTAAAACAAAATAATTTATTTTTATTTTCTTCAAATATTGATTTATCTTATTAAAATGATTATCTGATATATTCTTTTTATATCTTTCTACTGTTTTATAAGATATAGAAATTTTAAGCATTAGATTCAAAAGTAATATCATATGAAAATAAATAAAGTTCAATTTCTAATTAAAGAGAATTATTAAATTTATTTTTTGAATCAGATAATAAATAACAAAATTTAACAAGTGATGTGATATTTTCCTATTTTCTATATTATTAATTTTTCTATTTAATAAAATAAAAATGTCAACTAATTCATTAAAAAAACCCTTTTAATTGTGATTCATCTTCTTCAATTATATTTTGAAATTTTTTAAAATCTAATCCAATTTCTAAATATAATAGTCTTTGTCTTTTATATAAGCATTTTGATAATAATTTGATTTTTTCTTTTAATTGATTTAAATTATTTTTTCATATTTATTTATATCTTTTTGCATTTTTTTTATTTTATTTATTAAAAAATCAAAATTATTTTAACATTATTATGTTTAATATTTATATCAGACAATTATTAAAATTTAATTTTCTAAATTTAAAAGTTGAGATAATTCACATTCTGTATAATCATCATCATTTCTAATATATGGGAGCGTTTCCAGTAAAATCACATTATAAACATATGATTTACTATGCTTCATGACTTGATTTTACTGGAAACGTTCCCATATATATCATTAAATTCTTTTGATTTTATTTTTTTGTTTTTACTTCTTCTATTTGTTTTTACAATTGATAAATAATGTGAAAAATATAACTGATCATTAATTTGAAGATAGCTATGTATTAGTTTTTATAGCTTTTTCTTTACTTAATTAAGTGAATTTTCTAAATTTATATATATTTAGATCATTTTTATCACAATCTTTAACTTTACATGAACCATTATTAGAATTATTAAAATTCATTTTAGATATATTTGATATATACTTTGATATATTACAACCAATAAAATTAGCCTATCTTTTTTGGTAAAAATTACGACGATCAATTTCGGACAATCAAATTGTGATATTTCAAAAATGATTATCACAAATTTCAATGCTAGAAAATCGAATGTCCATTATCGAAAATATGGGTTAATATTTAATACGCGTAAAAAGAACGCGAAAAAAAAATTTCCTAAATGTGGGTGTTGTACCAAATGATCTGGCCAATCAAATCGACCAAGTGCTTAATTATCTTTTAATTTTAATTTTTTGCGTTCTAGTTTCTCGCGTCGGTGTAAGTCCGGCATAAAAAAATTTTATTAAGATCCCTCTTCATACGCGTCAAACTTTATCCTGAACCATTTTTACTATTCACGAATCAAGGAGTTATCATTCGCGGGTTCTTCCGTTGCTTAATTGTTTTGGAGAAATGGCATGATCTGGGTTCACTTTTTGCAAACAACAAATTTTGCCTTGAAGAACAATCATTACCGACGCCCTTATTTTTGTTGTTGATGAGCGTCCGCTGATTCTGAAGGAGAAATCGGATATGTACATTCCATCTGATTCACTTCTAATATCACCTTTCTCATAACAAGTAAATCTGAACGTTAGAAAAATGGATGAAGCCGTACTGTCAAGAGATGATCAAGACAAGTGAAAAAGAAATCTGCCTGCATCCATCAATAAGCCTTATTTTCTTGTTAACGATATGTCACCAAACGATATTCCTTCATTAGGACTTAGCATTTTTGCTAACTTTTTTTTACAAATTAATAGACGAAACATAGGTCTGGACAATGATAGTGTATGTGAAGTGAGGAAATATATGTTAACGTTCACTGGTGAATTTTTTGCATTATTTAAGTACTGTCAAAGTCTCAAGGTAATGCAAGAAAGCCACATTGATGAGATTTATCAACAATACCCATCAATATATAACCCTGACTTAGATAAAAGCACCACTACCAAATCGTCTACTGCTCGAACTCCATCTCCAGTAAAGCTTTTTTGCTTATCAATTCTATCAAAGAATTAAACGATGTTCGCTACCATCTTTTAAGACTCATGATAAAAGTTACGACATATCAAATGAAAAAGACGGTAGATGCTCATTTAAGAATAATATATTTTAACAATATTACAGCATCACAATTTAACGCCAACCAATAGTGCTGTTCAAGCGGATTTTGAATGGAAGATACTGGTCAAGCTCCTAACCGACAAATTGCTATGTCGAGTCCTTCACATAATCAAGTTACATCATTCGAAAAATGTCAGCAAAAATAATTTTTCAGTCGATCAGATAATGTTGTTGGAGATTATGATTTCATCGCAAATTGTTATTACCAATTTTATATTTGGAAGATGATGAACCACTTCATGAAAGATATGAAGAAGATTTGGAGATAAAAAAACCTCCAGAATCTGATAGTTAGTGAAATTTCTGTTGTGGATATTTTACGCCAGATTTTTGGATATCTAGTTGTCAATCGACTGCAATATGGTATCCGCACAACTTATAGCCAAAGCTGGTTCCTTCGAAGACAAAAGTGAACCATACGTCTTTATATCTCTCCTACTATAGAAATAGAATCAAGGAATCTGCAGTGTTACGCTTATATACAACATATGTCTAGAACAGATACTGAATCTCCTAGCCAGGAGCTACACCACCAAGTTTTGATGATAATGAAAGTTCAGAAAATAATACTTTGTTTTTGTATTATGAGGAAATCCTTAAAGGAATCTAAACAAAACAAAACGAAATTCTAAAGGGAAGCGAAACAACACGTGCATTTTACATATTCAAGCTGTGCGATTTATCAAAATTAAACTAAAACAATCAAAAACCTTTTAAAGTCATACCAAGCATTAGTGAAAGGCTCATTAATGCAACAAGATATTTACGATTTTTATGATTTGATTTGTTACATGTTACATGATAATTTATTTTCATTTCAATATAACCGACCCCGGGGATCATTGCTTTTATGTTCATAATCTGAACCAATTGATAAATATTTTTTAATATGAACATTATGTTATATGTGGAGATATACTAGGGAATGGAAACCGTTGAGTTCGGAGCAAAAAAAAATTGATTCTAAGAGAAAATTTAACCTAGACCGGGAGGTTCAGATCATTTATCCTAGACTGTGGGAATTCACTGAATTTTTATTTCTTATTAATACATTATCTGCAAATATATTTATATAATAAAAGTATAACATTTTTCGTTGAATTAAATTACGGTTTCACTAAAATTATGACTGAAGAATTAACTTAAATCTATCAACCCCAAGTTGGTGAAATTCATAATAAATTTGTTAATAATAATGCACATAAACTTGGTTTTATTATTAGACTGAAAAGCTGGATATTTAAATATTACCTTACTTCTGAATCAAAAGAATATGACTTAAAAAATGGAAATTTAACCAAGAATGAAAACAAAATTCTTAACATTACAGTTGACCAATTATATTTATATTTCTTTAAATAATTCTAATACTTTATGATATTTAAACAATCTTATAATCATTAAATAGTTAATAAAATCATTAATTTTTTATGCCTAATAAACAGAATTATTAAATAACAATTATATCATGCTAATACATAAAAAAGTGTTTAGTAATTATATTACATAATATATAATAATATTTTATAATTTCATCTATTAATAATATCAAACCAATTTATTATGATAATGCAGAATTTTTTTATTATACTAATATTAATAATAATATAAAAATTAAAATGATAATAAAGAAGGTTTCTAAATAATATACTGTATAAATTATAGTAAATTTAATAATGCTATTATAAAACCAATTATTTTCAAATATTTTATAAAAGTAAATAATTAAAAATATAATATATGATTTGCTAATATATGACATTTGCAATAAAAATAGAAAACTGCTAATAAAATAAAAAATTAATTATTATAACTTATAAACCATTTTTAGTATATAAAATAAAATTGTTTTGTTCTAGTAGTTTTACCTTTTCTATTTATATAGATAGCATTTAGTATATTTTTTGAAATAGTTAATCAATATATAGTCAAACCTTGATATAGCGAACCCTTGATATAGCGAATTTTTAAATCAAATATATTAAAATTACCTTTACTATAGTGAACTAGCCAATTAAATTCTTTAAAAAATTTGTTATAAGCTTATAATGAAGTTGATATCCAGATCCTAAAATTCGTTATATCAAGAGTTCACTGTATATATTTGATACTTCTTATTGATGATAATTATATAATGATAAATACTTACACAAAAATTTTATAAATATTTGATATAAATGTTGATTATATCAATAGTATTTAATAAAAAAGTATATTAAATTTATATGTAAAATCTAGTATTTATTTATTAAAAATTTATAAATGGTTTGAAGAAATAGATATTTTAAATTGTTTTCTTAATAAGATTGATTTACTTAAAATATTATATCTAATAGTATCAATTATTTAATAATATAATAAAAAAAATAAAATAAAAATAAGCAATATGTACAGCTTAATATGAAAAATCTTGAATAATATAATAAGAGAATATGATTATTTAGATACAAATACATTATTTATTAAATTATTATTGCATTTTAATTAATTTGTAAATATACAAATGAAAAAATGAAAATTTTATATATATTATAATATTTTATCTAAATCTACAAGTATTTAAAATATTAAATAGAATCTATTTTAATTATTTTTTTCTAAAAAAAAAAAACTTAAAAATAATTAATACAATTTTTATATATAAAATACAAAAAAAAATTTAAAATAATATATTTTAATATAATTTTATAATTTTAATTAATATTTTAATATATTTTATTTTTTTAAAATAGATATATAAACAAATATTACTAAAATAACTTTTTAAATTCAAAAATATGAAAAAGAAATAAATAAACAAATAAAATTCTGTTAATAAAATATATTATCTTACTTAATAAATTTATAAGTAAAATATTATATTTCTATTAATAAAACTTCAAATAATAAAATATGATTCTAATTCTAATTAATTAATATTAGTAATATCTGCTTAAACTTTTTTTTAAAAAAAGTAGTTTTATCAAAAGGATTTGTTTTTTTAATATTTTTATATGAATAAATATAAAATTATTATATTTTTTAATGTATTGCTATCTTACGATACTAATGACTGAAAATTAGTATTTACGTAAGATTAACAAAAAATTTAGCTTTAAGACTTTATAATACAATTTATGGAGAGCTTCTAAAAATTTACAATCTAAGAGTATTTTTAGAAACAAATGTGATTATAGGTAAACAATAGAGTTTTATTAAATATAATAATTATTACAAATATATTTGTTAGCATACAAATGTGTTTAGTATTTATCTTGTTGACAATAGTACTAAAAGTAATTTTCTACTTAAAAGTCTTATATTATTGAAGTTCTAAAATTATCTTATTTATAAGAAATTTGATAATATAAATAAAATAATAAAAATATAAATAAAAATAAGAAATGTAATAATTAGTCTTTCATCATATACCTGATATATATTACATATATGACAGATTTAGTTAATCTGGCAGATCTGCCAGTTTTGGCAGATTGGATAAATTTTGAGAATCTGGCAATTTTAGCTGATTGGATGGATTTTGTAACAAATTAAAAATTATGTGATTTATAAGATAACTTTTTAGTTTATTACAATATTTTAATTTAAGAAATTCAAATAAAGTTAAATATAATTTTGGCAATTAAGTAAAAAAGTTTTATTATTTATAAAAAAACTAGTTCTTTTTGTCAGTTTTATTATATTAAGAAAGGAAGTTTTGTCAAGTATAAATATTTAATATACTGTATATATATAAATATACTCAATTTTTAGGTTTTATATATCAATATAGTTTAAGAATTACAATGAATATTATAGTTTGAAATTAAAATTTTATGGTTTAATTAAGTATTAAAACTAATTTGATTAATAGCAGAAACTATTAAAACTAGATTTATTAAAAAAAATAGATTTTTATTAATTTAAGATAGTATTTTTAATCTTAATTTTAATATAATTAAAATTAAATGAAATTTTAATTAAACTTTTTATAAAAAATGAAGAAGTATCTGTAAAATAAAATTTTAATAATTAGAATAAATTATATTCAAATATAATTATAATTTTATAAGAAAATCTTTAATAATAATTAAAATATTAATATATGTTTATTTGATTATTGCAAAAATACAATAATTTGTAATATAAATATAAAATAATTCATTTTTAAAATTGAAAAAAAAACCTTAACTATAATTTAATATTCAAATTTTATATCAATAGCAAAAAATCTACAATAATTCATAAAAAGAAAACTATTTAATAAAAGAATTAGAAATATAGGAAAATTAATTAGTAAAAATAATTCATAGTAAATATTTAAATCTTTATTGATTTAAATAATTATAAATCTATTTATATGGCATAAAAATATAGTAATATATTTATATATGAAACTAAAATTAATCTATTTCAGATATCTGAAATGATCAAAATAGTTAAAATATTTTGATTTTTAAAGGTAAAAAAGTCAAAATAGTTAAAATGATATTATATTAATAATTTTTCATATATAAAAAATTTAAAATTTAAAATAAAAAATAAATAATTTCAATTAATATTACTCTATTTTCATAAAATAACTACTATTGATTTTTTATGATTAGGCAGATCTAATAATTATAATTTATTAATTTCAAATTTACAAATTTTGAGATAATTACAATCAAATTTTTAAATTCAGATCCTTTTATTTTAAGTAGAATTTATTAAAGTATAATTTTGACCAATAATTTAATTGCAATTATCTTGTGATTGACAAATCTGAAATCAATAAAATTTAGCTTATTAAATTTGTCTAGTTATAAGAAATCGAATAGTAGTTGATTCATAAGAAACAGAGTAATATTGACTGAATTATTATTTTTTAATTTTTTAAATTTTTTATGTATAATAAAATAATATTAATTTTGATTATTTCAATTTTATTTTAACTTTGATCTTCAAAATCAAAATAATTTGACTTTTGGGTTTTTATTATTCAAATAAAATTCAAAATCTAACTTTTACTTTATTTATTATTCTATTTTTACATTTTCCAAATATAAATTTTTTTCTAATAATTTAATTTTAAGATACATGTATTTATTATATTTATATTTAAAGAAAATTTATTAATTTTAAATTTAAAGAATATCAAAATCAAAATAATTGTTTATTATCTTTTTAAATCTATTATATTGAAAATATCAAAATATTTAAATAATTTAATAAGAAAAGGTATATATATATTATTTTTATTTAATATAAATAATAGATTTTTAAATAATAATAATATTCAAATTTAATTATAATTTCAATTAATTGTTATATAAAATTTTACATAAAAAACATAAAATTTTTTTTAATTTTAGATAAAATATATTTTAATAATTATAAAATAAATATTTACAAAATTTTTAACTTTAAATTATGATTTTTTCATAAATAAATAATATTTAAACATAAGAAAATGTAATAATTGTAATTAGTAAATAAACTTCTTTTAAATACTATTGAATTAATAATCTAACATTATAAAATTTTTATATTATTATAATTGAATGATATAAATTTTATTAAATTTATAAAGAAAAAGGAGTAATTATTTTTTGCTAAAAATAAAAAGGTTATTTATTATATATAAATTTTAACAAAGTTATCTAATCAAATTACAATTAAAATAATTCACAAATCCTTTATTTTTATTATTTAAACTAATCATTAAAAATTATTATAATTTAAGAAAGTTCTTCAAACATCCATATAGGGAAAAGAAGTACTTATAACATCACATTTCAGGATTACCATTTTTGGACAGTTTGTTGATCAGCGCACCCCTAGAGACACGTGTCTATAACATTCGTGTTTGTAGACATAATTCTTTAGAGGAAAAAAGAGAATATGATAGTTTATATCGAGACAATGATGAATTATCACAATTTATTCTAAAAGGTATAAACTAGTGATACCTGACGAAATTACCTTTCTTAATATGACTAAATTGACGAAACCGAAATGACGAAACTAGTTTTTTTATTAATGACGAAATTATTTTACTTAATTGCCGAAATTATATTTAAATTCCTTGAATTAAAATACATTAAAAAATATAATAATTTTATATTTATTACGAAACTACAATTTTTCATAAAAGAGTTTAGTCAGGTATCACTAGTATAAACTATGCAGCAGACTCTGCAGTTGACCTTGAGCAAGCGGACGAAGAGTTTGTCATTATTGTTGTTATTGTTGTTTATTTTAATGGACTTCTTTATAACAGTACAAAGTTGGATGAAACTATACGAAATATGTTGTGAATATTTATGAACAATGTGAAAAGGCATTTAGAGATTATTCACAAGAGAAATTTTTACGAACGATGATTTTCGACAAAAAATTGATCATAAGAAATAATATAACCCTTTTGATGGCTTTGTAGTTTATTTTTTTGTTTTATAGGAAGTCCAACATGAAAATGAATCAATGCACCTTTTAATCAAAATGAATATGATGACCTTGTGGTTAGACCTCAAAAAGAATTTTTTAAAATATCATTTGTTCCTTTTTTTTCTTATTTCATTTACACACATTTCGTTTTTAATTGGTTTTGGTGACTTGTGCAAGCATACTTTCTCTAAAGATGCTATCATGCAGATAATGAGTCGTAACGGCAACGTTATACCATGTTCAATTCCGGGTTGTTGTGATAAACAAATTAACCTCAACACTTAGGTGCGAAAAGTTGTTGAACACGTTAAAATGATGGAAAATAAGAATGGACGTTATTGAGGTAAAAGAGATAATGATGACATTAAATGGTAATTTACTAACATTAATATTTATTTTTCTTCTCAAGTATACAAATATTGATAATTAAATTTTACAGCTAGAGAAATTTCTTTTTAATTTGGCCGTAAATATAATAAATGGCCTTTATCTTATGCTTTTGTCATCGGATTACGTTTTTGTTTTGTTTTCTGAAACTAAGCGCTCGAATACAGGAACAAAGGTATAAAGGTCAATTCCGATTCCAAGAATAGCTCCTATTAATACTGATTGACTTCTAATAAAAAAGCTATTCATCTTTTATTTATAAATATTTTTTAAAATGAAAATAATTTTTTTGTTTGAAAGATATATAAAAAAATGACAATTAAATTACAAGTTCATTCAACAACTGGTACATCAATTAAACGCAGGTATATTTTATACAATAATCTCCCTATAACATAATTGTAACATCGAATTTACAAGATTAATTAGAAGGCTATTTGGTCATTCCAGCAGAGGTGAGGGCTCCTTCGAATATACTGTACAATTTCCCGGGATGCAGTTGGTGATTTTTATCTGCATAAGTTTCAAAACTATCTTTCCTGAAGCTCATTTCCAACTAAATGCATAATATGTGTCAAATCAACTTCTTCCAGTTCCCTTTTTGAAATTTCTTTTGAAATCATTTCATAGAACAACTCCAAAGCACGCACCTGTCCGACTATATCAACAACAATACGTCTGAAAAGATTGTTACCATAAACATATTTTTCATCAAATCCAATGTCACATGCTATACTTAACAATCAGAATCTCCCAATAAATGTAGTGGTAGGTGAAGTACTTGATGCGTTGATTTAGTAATTATTGATCGAAGTGGACCTTCAACTGTCCCAGCTAAAATTGGGACAAAAAACACATTTCCTAATCGACAACTAAGTGAGCCAATAATATTGACAAGAAAACGAAAAGCATCATTGGATGTATCGTTTAATTTATTTACATCATCTATACCAATGACTATTGCTAAATTTCGATTATTTTCCTTAACCTTGTCTTTATAGATGGCTTGTAAAACATGGGATAACTTTAAAGATTTTACATTTTCCTCACTAATTCTAGCTCGAAAAACGGGGTAATCTACTTCCTCATTTCCATGTATAAAGTAACTGTAAAAAATCCTAATTGCCAATGAGCCAGTTACCTTATCTGATTCTAGAGCTGCTGAACCTTTGCCATATGTGACATTCAGATAGATAGCATCTTTAAAAATAGATATAGTTTCACTATCCTTTGATCCTTGGGCTTCTTATAAAGAATATTATGAATCTCTTGTAAAGCCTGCTCTTTCCTGTTCCAAGACCACAGCCAAGAAGATGAAGGTTACGATCACCATTTTTATTGCAAAAGTTGTAAAAACGATTTAAAACACCATTAGGATTAGATTCTCTGCCATTCCAAAGACTATTTAAAGCATCTTCACGAGCAAGAAAGTAAATTTAGCAACAAATGATTCTACAAGTTCCAATGGTTTCATTTCTTTTGGTCTATATTCCTTTACCCATTCTAGGACTGCAGATATATCTTCCCATTTCATTCTTCTTTGAAATCTGAATGAAATTAATAATTTGATGCTTAAAAATTTGTGATTGAAGAAAGAATAAGTTATAATGTATACCTTCTCTCTCTCTCTCTCCCTCCCTTTATCTCTCTCTCTCTCTCTCTCTCTCTCTCTCTCTCTCTCTCTCGTAATACAGTCATAGAATAAAAGGATAAATCATATATAAAAAAAAATGAATTGTATTTTCCATTTTGTAAATAAAAGAAAAAAATAGAAATAGTTAAAGTTGTAAACATTATACAAGTGCTCTCAAACAAACAAATAAATAAAATGGAAATAATTTTTATATCTTTTTACGCAATTTGTTCATTACCTTTTTTCTTTTCCAAAGTCTGCAAATGCATATTGCAAACGTTCCATATGCTTTATGCACTCATATACATCATTCTTCAAACTCTCTTTTTCCTTATATAATCTTTCCATTCGTCTTTCCAACTTCGTCCGCTCTGCTTCGCTCAAGTTTCTCTCAATCAACTCTATTTCCCACTCTTCCAACTTCTTCCCTTTATACTTCCCCTCCTCTCATCGCTTCAACTTCTCTTCCGCTTTTCCTAATTTTTAAATGCAATGTTCAACTGTTCTTTAAATTCGTTAAAGTCTCCATTTGTAAAATTTAGATCGTGGGTGAATTCACAAATTCGGATTTTACTAGGCACCATTGATTTGTCCTAATGGGCACATGACTTTGGATTAAAATTTTAAATTCTATAATTTTTGAAATAATTTAGTGGATACGATTTATATAAAAAAGGGTAAGTGTTTGATGCAGGGACTATTTAAAGTTCATAAAAAGGATGGGAATAAAATTTTATTCAAGTATTTAACTTGAACAATATAAATTTTAAATACGTTAGGTAAATGATGCATTTTGTTGTTTACCAAACTTATCAAACAAAAAAGCTTTTTTTGGAAAAAACGATCATCACTTATTAAAATATTAGATCGTGTTAACTTTTTTTCTTGATAGAAAACCTTTTATAGATATTATATATGTATATAAAAAAATTTTTTTTAAATAAATTTGACAAAATGGTTAGTTTTAATTATAAACAATTTTAATAAAATCTTTGTTCCTTGAATTAGCTTTTTTTTTTTCTTCTTTACTCCTCCCTCTTCAAAACATTTACGAATCCTTCTAACTAGAAATAAAAGTTCCATTAAAAAAAATGAAAATGATGAAATCAATATTAACATTCTTGATTTTTTTATTATCCTACGTAAATATAATTTTTGCTCAAAAAACACAAACCACGTTAACGGTTTTAAGCAAATTTAATTTGACAACGACCTGTGAAACATCCATAACATCCCTAATTAACGACGAGGACATCAATAAATGTTTACCAATGTTCACAATCATAATAAGTATTCCGACACTTTTATCTAAATATCCTACAACAAATCCAAAAGATAAACTTGATATCTTTGCACAATTAATTAGACAAACGTGTCAATTGCCAAAATGTTATCCTTCTTTGACTCAAGATGTCGCATTAAAATTGCAAGAAGATTGTTCTCAAGATTTAATGCAACAAAATATAATGGCTACATTGAATTTTTTATTATTTTCTCATTATAAACCGATACAAGAACTGATTTGTCTAAGGAATAGTTCAAGTAAATACAATTCTTATTGTATTTTAGAAACGTTAACAAGTTTTGAAGCTTATCAAGAGAAATCGATTGTTTCGACCTCCTCATTTGAAGAGAGTGAAAACTATAATCAAATATTAGAAACAAGAAATAAAAAAAAATCAAATAAACATAAAAAACATAAAAAGAAAAATAATAAAAAAAAAAATATTTGTACTCGTACAATATTAGGAAAAATACCTAATCCAACAACTACTGTTACTACAACCCTTTCACCTCCAACAGCTACAACAAATACAAACGAAAAAAGTTCAGAAAATGATGATAATAAAGGGAGTTTACCTCCAACGACGCCGGAGGATGATTCATCATTTTTTGAAACTTTACCCGATTCATTAATTTGTACTGATTGTAACAAGGTATTGAAACCAGGAACATTTGATATTTATTATTAACCTCCTTTCTAATAATTTCCCTCAATATTTTAGGCTATGATCTCAGTTGCATTAAATTATCTCAAAGAAAATCCGGCGGTATTAATGTTACTAAATGTGAATGAAAGTCAACAAATACAACGAGCTTCTCTAATACTTGAATTAAAATGTGGTAATTCATTCTTGGATGGTACAACTCCCAACCTAATTTCTGATTCTTCTAAATTATCACACTCATATTTTTATAACTTCATTGTAACAATCATAATGTTACTATTTTTATAAGTTATTTATTGTTATTATTATTATTATTGTATATTATGGATGGATCGGATCCAATTAGTCTTTCAAATTAATTAGAACAGTTAACATTATTATTTTATTAGCATATCACTGCAAACTGTAAAATTTCTCGCATTGAAAATTACCTAAAACCTTGAACTTTGAAATCCAATAAAATGTTTTGGTAGTAACCTTTATTAGAAATTTTCACCGTCTTGGTCTGATTGGTTATAATAATTTTTTGGAATTATAACCGCTGACCCGCAGCATGGATGAAACACGTCTCTCTATTGTTAAAATAAAAAACAATGGGTTCTCCACATGGACTTTACGTTATTCTCCACAAAAGCTCGCGTGGGTCACCATTACAAAAGGTAAAAAAAATGTAAAATTTATTTCTAGAAATTATTGAACATTTAAAGTATTTAATAGCCAAATAAAGAATATTATTTATTATTTATTGATAAAGGGGATTGCAAAAGAAGATCCGTAAAAAGAAAATTCTTTGTACGATCATTTATCCAAAAAAGAAATTTTTTTTTTTTGTTGCTTATCCCCAACAATTTGTTTGTTCAAGTATCATATCATAGATGCATGATTATCTAATACGTTTTTTTAACAGCAAATAAATTTTAAATTCTTTATGAACCTCCGAGTTCTCCGAGTTCTTAATGTTCTTCATGCTTGATATGATTATATCAAAGCATATTAAGTTTATACAACTTATCTTAATTGAATCAACTGTTTTGTGTATTACATTTAATGCGATGTAAAAAGATTGTCCAAAGTACGAATTTAAGGTTTATTTACGAATGGATGGATTATCCGCTGAATAATCGCATTTCAAAACACGAGAATGGAGTCAATTGACGTATTTCTCATTGTTAATAGCCAGTTTTTAATTTTTCTTTGTCAACGAATTCTTTTTCTCATGCAAATAAATGCGGCTTCTTGCTGAATCTTATAAATGAATGTATTTATTTGAACGGTGAAAAAAAAAAAATCTCTGACATCTAAGGAGAATCAATGTTTATTATGTACGCCCTTATCTTTGATATTTTTAACCCATATATTATTCTGAAATTTACTGTAAACCAAAACAATGAAAAATGGACCTTATTTGTTTGTATTACATTACTTACATTTTTATCTTTTTTTTTTTTCAATATATATATATATATATATTTATTATTCTGATAAAAAAATTTTACGTACTCCCTGCATTACCGTGGATCCAGTCGTCGTTTTGTTCTTTTGTGCATATCTCCGTATTTATATTCCAGAACCACCATTTATGTATTCATAATAAATTTTTTTTATATAAAAAGATATAATCCTTTTTTTTTGTGGGGTTTATCAAGAAAAAAAAAATGACTGTTGCGCTAAATAAAGTAACCATTAAAAAGCATGAAATCACGTGGCCAAAATCTCCAACTGTCATTGAAGAGGGATCTTTAGGAAAAACATATAAAGTACAATATAAGGGAACCGATGCCGTAATTAGATCAAGCAAGGTGAAAAAAAATTTATGCAATTAAAAAATTTAATTCAATTTTTATTTTCTAACCTCTCTCTCTTTCTAATTTAGGATGATTTGGAGGCGATCTTGGAAGAATTTCATGTTCATTATAAACTTCGAGAACATGAAAATATATTAAAATTCTACGGTATAATTATAAAGTCAGATAGGATAGCATTGATTTATGAATATACGGCTTATGGAAAATTATCAACATTTCTTAAAGAGAATTCCTTATTAGGATGGGAAATCAAATCAAAATTATGTCATGACATAACGTTAGCATTATTTCAGTGTCATGAGTTAAATATAAGCAATTTTAATTTAAAGTTGGATGATATTTATTTGACTGGTGATTGGATGGCTAAAATCGCCGGTTTTAACAATGATTATGATAAAAGGAAAAGTCGAAAAAGTTTGAATTCTCTCTCACCTGATAATTCTATGCATTGGGTTGCTCCTGAAGCTGTCTCTCTGGATCAAGACATGAGATTATCCTTTGAAAGGTAGGTGCGGTTCTGCGGACGCGTGAAGATCTCTGGTGTCACGCGCTAATTACATCCATCGCATCCTGTTATAGGAATCCGAAATTAGCCGACATTTATTGTTTAGGACTAATATTTTGGGCAAGTGCGTAACATTTAATAATAATTGAATCTAGATGTATTAATCGTAGGGATTAAATCTTTTTTACACCTTTTTTTTTAGTTGCAATGAATGGACAAATCCCTTATGAAGAAAATGTGGAGAACATAATAGAAGAGAAGCGACAACGTAATGCAAATGAACTTTTACAAAATCATTTACCAAAATCGATTCCACCAGAATTCTCGAATTTAATTTTTAAGATGACAAAATTCACCCCAAGGCAAAGACCAAAGTTGCTTACGATACTTTGTACATTGGAAAGATTATATGATTTTGATAATCAGCAAGAATCATTATCAGTAACAAGTTCAAAAGGTTTTGATGTCGAAAGTGATATCTCAGAGAATTTGATCTCAAATCAACTTGAAAATGTTAGTCAAGCGAGTCAATTTTATGCTGGTTCGATGAGTTCATTAATGAATAATAGTGATAGCAATATCTTAATTCATCAAGAATATCAATTTTCGCAAATCGAAATCGATTTATTAGAAAAGATTACCTCATTATATTTGGAAGCGGAAAAGTTTGGATACGATTGGCTCATAAAAAATCTTAAAAGTTGGATTGAAATCGAGAAAATGAATCCAAAAACAATTTTTGATTTAATTAACATAGATTTAAATAAACAATATAGAAGATGTATCATAGGATATTTTTACGAGGAAGGATTTGGTACCTTTCGAGATACAAAACAAGCTTACAAGTATTATAAGAAATCGGCGGAAGAAGGTGATCATTATGCTCAAAATCATTTGGCTTTATGTTATCAAGATGGTATTGGTATAGAAAGAGATAGTCTTAGAGCCTTTGATTGGTTCACAGAATCTGCTTCCGGTGGCAATGTTTCTGCTCAAAATAATCTTGCCATGTGTTTTGATTATGGCAAGGGTACTGGTCCAAATCGTGTCAAGGCCTTTACTTTATATAAAACTGCTGCTGAAGGTGGCAATGTTTTGTCTCAATATTCACTTTCATTATGTTATGAGGGTGGTTATGGTACTAGCATAGATAAAAAAAAGGCTTGGAAATGGTTAGAAACTGCAGCTAAAAATGGAAATTTGGCTGCCATTGAAACTTTAAAGGCAAGAAAAAGAAAAAATCAAAACTGGTTTACAAAAGGAAATTTATTTTCCAAGAAAAATGTAAGTACTTTTATTAAATAAAAGGTGTACAAAAGTACAAAAGTATATTGTTTATTATTTTTATTTTAACTTTAAGATATATATATATATATTTTATTAATTATTTAGTCAAAAAAATAAGGATTGCACATGGAAATTCAACCGGGGTTGCTTTGCTCGATTACTTTGGCTAATAAATCAACTTTCACCTTTGTACCAAGCTAAAGTTTCTGGCGAATTCTATTTGAAGATTTCCGAAAATATTTTACATTTCGCATTAGTTTCGAACTAGTTTCACCTTGATCCGAAACCTTTCAAACTCATTTCATCTAAATATTAGCATTCAATCATACATACATAATTATCTCACAGGTGGAGATAACTAATCCTTTTGTATATATATTAATTTTATCAATTATTAAAAAAAACCGCGCATTTCATCGCTGTCATATCAGAAACAAATTGTTTTGAAATTTAATCTTATTATGATATTTATTCTAATGAATCGTTGAAGTATATGAAGTATAAAATTACTCTTAATATTCAAACGAAAATTCGTGTACCAGACGATATTTTTTAATGGGCTATGGTAAAATGGGCTATGGTAAAGTGCGAATCGAGCATTCAGGATTGAAACAAATACAAACCTTTTACATTTTTTGCAAGTTTGCAAAGTATTTAATTAAATGCCACAATATAACTCGAGCATTACCGTACTGCACTGACCCTCTTTAAGTATACCCACGTTAAAAGACTCCGGGCATAATATACGGCTTAAATTTCATAATTCTGGTAGGAAAAGGCTTATTTTGGCCATATATCACGGTTTATTATATAATTTTTAAACTAGGTATTTTATCTCATTTTAGGCAGTGCGGTTAATATTTAATTAAATAAACCACCCATCGACATTCTATTTAATTTGTTTTTCTTTGTACAGTAGGTAAAGAAAGTATTCGTGATTTATGATATTTATTATAAAATCGCGAATACTTTCTTTACCTACTGTACATTTTACATTATTAGGATGTGTTCCACTTTTATTGTCTAAACTTAATAAATAAATGTTATGATCTTGGAAACCAAGTGAGGATTAATAAAGAAAGACTTGAAAATCTCGCATTGAAAACCTCGCATTTGAGATAGAAAATGTATCACCACTCGTTTTTCATGAATTATAAGGTTTTGACGTTATTAAAAAAAAAAAAAAAATACTTGAAACACGAAATAAGGTTACTAGTTTAAAGGTTGTCAATACTTAACTCGAAAGAATCACTTTTAAGAGACTTGAAACTATAATACTTTGTTTTTAAATAGGAAATCACCCAAACTCATTATGAAGATTTTATCCTTGGGTATCGATAAACCGTGTTAAGTTGTGATTGTATACAGGTCAGTTTATCATTTAAATACGAAAGTTTCTACCATCTGATTCACAAGGACACGAAGAAATTCATCAGTCTCTTAAATTTCTCATCCGCAGCGACATTTATGGTATGGTAGAGGAGTTGATGTAAGAGTTAGCTTTAGAGAACCCAATTTTTTTTAATTCATTCGAGTGGAAGCAATAAGAACTGCACTTGTTGGAACGCGAGTCTTCTGAGCAACAAACCAGCGGCGTCGGTTTAGTTGAGAATGCATCGGGTTGTTGCAATCCCCATTATCCGTTGGAAAATTAATATTATTCGTCAAAAGAAATAGAGGTTGGTTTAACTCATGTGATTGATTATTGGGAAAATTTAAAAATAAATTTTTAAGAACATTAAACTAACGCTAATGTAACATACACTAATGAAGATCATGTTAATTATACTAAAAAAAATGGTTTTTGCGAACTTTTTTTGATTTTTAGCACATTTTGAAAAGAGGAGAATAATTTCCCTTCTTCATACACATGACATAAATTAGCCTTCACAGTTTAACAAACCGGTTGAACTCGGCCCGGTTGATAATATGATACATATTTTATTTATTATAGTAAAATAAATTAAAGCCATTATTCACGAAACAAGTTAGATGACTCAAAAATCGTCTGATTATGATCCTTATATAGATATGTTCAGAAATAATATAATAATTACTTTCACATGCAATATAAAGGGCGAATAAGATACATTGGATGGATTTGAAATATTCCCACGAAGAAGGAGGAATTCCATGGGGTTGCAAACCTCTTTATGTTTCAAGTAGTTCTTTTTCATTCATGTTCATACTACGGTAACTAATATGATCTTTAAAATCATCTTGTTTCAAAAGCCATTTCAGGAACAAAAGCAAGATCGCAGTGGTATGATTACTATTGTACGGATCATTTGAACTATTCATATCATTGGGCTTATTTTGAAAAGTGGTGATGATGTTTGTTGTCTAGAATGTCGTTTCTTACTTACTTAATGAGAGAATCATTGTTTTACATAAGCAAACACGTGAGCCAATTACTTTCATTGAATCTATCACGCGCGTTTTATCGGGTAAAATAACCCGTATAGCACTGATTAAAGACCTTCATGTTAAAAATAATGTTTATAGAAACATTATTTGATTATAGAACTTCTTATATGCTTACATAATCATTCGTTCAATCCATTGTTTTAGATGAAACATGTGTTACCTCCCTCCTATTTTCGTAAGGGAGGTAATTTATTTATTTAAGTAATGATTAGCAATGAAACGAAAATTGGGGCGAACGTCGATCAAATGTTAAAATAAAAAAAAATAGATTTTACAAGAGAAAAAGTTTATTTATAAAAATGTGACAAATACAAATATTACTGACTCGGCTGGCGCTATTCAATAATAGGCCTTCAAGAGAATAGGATTATCTAATTAACCCTATTCAATCCTAAGAACAAAACGAAGCATTTTTAAGTAAAATTTTCCTTCCCATGGCTTTACGGAATTCCCTTAAAAATATCAATTAATTGCGGCTGGATCAATTTAATTGATCATTAGTCAACTGAGTTCGAATGGTCAGAAAGGTCCGAAGTGTCTTTTTCGACAGATCGATCGTCAGCCGCAGATACTAATACTATCTTGGGCGCAGTCAAAAATCGACATTCTAATGTATGCGCCTAGACCGAACATTCATGGGTTTGCAAAAAAAATAAAACGGAATTGATTTTTATCTAATAGTTTGTCTTAAAAATATGTTTCGTTTAATTGAATAAATGATTTTCTAGAAAATTACTAAATGATATATAATTATTGAAATTGCGGACACCGCTTGATAAGGTAACGGCTCATTTTATTTGTTTTTTTAAGAAATCTAAACCCGAAGTTGTGGCTGATTATATGAGAAAAAAAGAATAGAGGAAAAAAAAAATGAACTTTAATCTCGGGTAAGATCACATAATAATGATGACACATTTTTTTTTCACACGTAATGAAATGTAATGAACGCATCATGTTTGTAAAACAAAAAAAAAACGCGCAACGGAATGCTATTCCTATTATATTCAGCATTTTAAATCACTCATTAAAAACCATGGATTATCAATTATAAAATGTAAAACAAATCAAATTTTTTTTTCATGCCGGAATAAGAAAATTAGGCAAAAACATTCACTCGGCAAAACGTTTCCAATTCGAGATGGAGGTCTTAATAGTTGTTGGTCTTGATGAAAGTTATGTTTATCAGTTTATATATATAGTAAAGTAAGGGCAAATGATGAAAGTGAATATTTACTTTATACGATTAACGAGATGATGAGATAATCAAAAAAAAAAATTAGGCAATTAAAAAAAAGCAAAAGTTACAGCACCCAGTATTCCCACGTTGTCCCCAACCGTAGTACTGACTGGGCCATCAGTGGCTTAACTTCGGAGATCGGACGGGTTCCGGTGCTTTTCACTGTGTATGGCCGTAACTGAAAGGTTAAGAAAATAATCACATGTTGATATCTATTTCAATTCAAGAAAAATTTGTTCTCGAAAATTGCATGTTTATTGATTTGACGACGATCTTTTGATTTTTTTAGCACTAAAATTCAAGTTTGTGAATCAATTAAAAAAAAAATCTTTTGCTTTCCGTTGATGTAGCACAAAGATCTTTTTGGTATACAAATTATTTTTCTTTTAAGGTTTGCTCAATTGCCCAAATTAGATGATAAACTTTTCTTAGATAGAGTGAGAAAATAAAGATTTTCCAAAGTCTCTTTACCCAATCATTGAATTAATGGTGAGATATGACCTTTATGGTATTGAATTGTCTTTGCACAACCACGCGATTTTCCGCGTTCATTGCAATTTTAATTATACATTTTTGTTTGACGAAAAAAAAAAACACAATATTTTGCGAATACTAATTGATATTTTATTTTCATTTTTTATATATAAAAAAAATATATTTTGAAGTAATTGATACATTAACAGAAAAAAATCATTAATAATGATAAGACATAAAAAAAAATAATAGAAAAAGTAAGGAATGCTTAAATAAAGGTAGAACGAAAAGCTTAAGGATTCAAAATCTTAAATTAATCGAAACTTATTTAGATCTTAGAAACACACATGTTATATGCATGCATACACTATATATAAATCTTATTGTAAATTAATCGAATAAAAATAAATCATAAAAAATAAGTGTAAAATAAATAGAAAAAATGAAAACATTAAAATAAAGGTCCATTTATTTGACCTTCTATATTCAAGACATTCAATCCGTTATTAATGTATTGAATGTTATTACAAAACATCTGATAGTGCCAAGCATACATAGATTGCTTATAAGACACAATGGGATGATGTAATATGGAAAAAGTAGGTGTTAAATTTGTACGATCAAAGATCTCATCAGTTGAAGTTGAAGATGATTCCCCATCTGAATATGCAAGCACATCAGAAACGAGACTTTGAGTCCAAATTAAATCACGACTACCGGTTGCAAATAAATAACTATCGACATCGGCCATAGTGAATGCAAAAGAAGGTGATAAAAGTTGGCGTTCCTCGATAGTATTTTGGTTAGGACAAATTGTAGTTGAGTAGGAAATGTCCAAAGGTTGGATGAAGTGATTTTTAGATACTGAGGGAAGAGGTTGAGATTGTTTCGGTACATTTGTAATGGTTGGTTGTTTCTTTCGTGAAGTGCGTGGCGCAGAATTCATCCTTGACTTTGGAGTTCGCGTGTTAGAATTGGTTGTTCGCCATTTACGTCGTGAAAATGATAGAGATTTTTGACGGGTTGTCGTTAATAGTTTCTTAGCTTCTCCAGCAATCCGCCAGTATTCATTTTTGACATCCTCTGGTTCACGTTTCCAAGATGCGGATGCCATGGAGGACACATCCGTCATTTTAAAAGCGTAATTTTGTGCCTGAAGTTCTTTAACAAAGACCCTACGATAGATCAAGAACGCATTGGGCGCTCTAGATGGTACCTCCCCATCTTTTTTTTGGCTTACTAAATCCTCTGGATTAATCGGAGGAGGAAATGGTATTTTGATCGAAGGGATTGGAACCGTTTCATGTGCGGTTGTATTTGCGGATTCATATACAAATACAGTTTCTCGTTGGACATTTATATTTTCAATGAATGAAGACATATTTGTTCTAATCGTAGGTGTTAAAGTCGTAAGGCGGAATGAATTGAACGGTTCTATGGAGGAAAAAAAAAAAAAATAAAAAAAATATAAATTATGAATAAATATGTCAGTTCTATCTATCAACCGCACTGGGAAAAAAATGCGAGCGAGTTCACTTGATCTTTTATAGAAAAATTTTTTTCTTTTCGGAGATAATATATAAATATTAATATATATAATATTTATAATTATATTTATCCTTTTTTGTTTTGTGGAATTATTTTTTTTTTGGAAATTTTTTTCTTCTTGTTCGCGACTGGGACAGCATCTATTTATGAACACACGGTCACACCTAATAACATTACTTTAACATTAATATTTTCTGATTTATTAATATTTTTTTTCTTATAACACATTAACCTTTCATTCTATATTTTAGAAAGTTCATAAAAGATTTTGGAATCATCGGATCAAATCCAAAAATCCAAAAAGAGAATACAAGTTACGATAACAGCGAGAGGTTCATCTTACGATTATTGCATGGAAGTGATTGGATATGATGCGTCCCAGTATCAAAAGAACAAATTCAATCGCAAGACAAGAAAAAAAATAATAATATCAAATTCCTTTGATGCATTATGTTCTCATATATCTTTTATTCTTTATAAGTGAACTCGCATAAATTTATTTGATGTAATGCATACCGTTATTGCGTGTGTGAATGAATTACTTTGTCCTAAATTTATGGCGGTATAAAAAATGAAATTAATGCGTATTTATTGATGATAAATAATTTTTCTGATTTTCAATATGTCGTAAACTAATTCGAATATCCGTCTTGGTTCGTAATGATTCACACGATCGTCCACAAGGTAAGGGAAAAAAAAATTTTTTTTTATTTTTTTTTATGTTTAATTACAATCGTAGTATTAGGTTTAACCAATGATAAAGTATCTTCCGGGAGTCTCAAGTTTAGGATACAAAATAATATTTTATCACTGATTTTTTAATTATGAATTATGTTGTGATCCTTATTAGGGCAGATTAATTCACTAGAAGATAAATGGAAAGAAAAAAATTTATCTTTGATTTGACATTTGTAACTAAACTGACTTGGGATGAGAAATTGAAATTTTTATCAAGTCTTTTTATCTAAATTGCAACAAATGCTAAAATCTATTTTTATAACATCATGATAATAATTAAATAGAAATTGTTGTTCTATAATTGAAGCCGAAAAACATATCGGAGAAATACCGCAGAAACAAACATATTAATAATTTGCCACTGAAATACAGTGGCTAGTAAACCGAGAACGCCATTATCGGAAAATAATATAAAAGGAAATTACTTTGGAAACTTTTTGGTTAGATCAACGGTCGATGCATGCGTAACAAGAGTAACAAACATTTTTAGTCGATAGAAATAGATAGAAATAGTTACCGCCATTCCATTCTTCTCATTCTTGTAAAATCAACTGATCATAAAACGTGTGTAAATGTGTATTGCGTGTAACATTTCTCCCTAATCACTCGGTTAAGGGCTAGATGTGGCAAGGGGGGAACGATATTATGGCTAGTATGCCTTCAAGAAGATATCTATGAATAATGGCTGGTGTAAGCACATCAAATTTCTAAAATCGCAAAAGAAGAAATTTAAAAATAGGTATCACCAAATACAAATCTATATATATATGCGCCGCAGCATGATCATTTGACCATTCGCATCACCCTCACCGAATTTGTGATATTAAGTGTACTACAGAATTAAATTCATTACGGAAAATTTATGTAACACCTTTGTTCTTTATGATAATGAAATGTCCCACAAAGAACTGTAATTCAAAAAAAGAATTTAATATCATTTGTTCAATTAAAAATGTTTAAATCTCTCTCTTCATTCGTTTGAAGATTGAAAGTGATTAATTTAACTTTTGATTTTCAAAAGAATGTTCAAAGAGTTGTTCTCTGTTCAGTAAACAAGAAGTGTGATCCCAAATAAATAAACTATATGCGGAAACTTATTAACCCAAGTGTTCGTACATGATACTAAAAAAAGTATTTTAGAATGGTGAGCAATGAAGAATTCATCAACCATCATCAATCTCGTTTATGATTTTATCGATTTATTATGATATGATTATCATAATCCAATGTTTCGTCTTGCTCAAATTTTCTTTTTTTTTTTTAAAAAAAAAAAAAGAGGATTGAAAAATCGCAGTTTCAAACCCATTTATTACCACTTTATGAGTTGAATTCACGAAATATGATGTTTTCTATTGTTAAATGTTTGTTTTTAAATGGAAAGTTGCATGACAAACAAATAGTCGATTTAGGAAAGCAATATCCCTAAAATATCAAAATCACCCAAATTCATTGGTTTCTCTGTTGATCATCAACTGCATTATCAAATTTTTTTGTTTGATGGAATAAAGATTTTGCCGTGTTTCACAAATCTATGGAATTGATTTTTTTTTTTTGTAGATGCATGTAATCAATCATTAACTCGATTTAAAAAAAATTTTCGCATGAAAAAATCATTTCCATTCTGCGTTTTGAAACACTCAGTCTTTGAATTAGATAAGATAATTAGTTTTGTTTTTAAGGATAAGTCCATCGAAGATTGTTTCTTAATTTTATTCTTTTGTTATCGAATTTTAGTTAAAAATTTTAAATTATTTGAGTGTTAATACACGACAAATCCAAACTAGACCAATTATCTTTTCATGAAATAAGAAATGTTATGTAATGCGCGCGAATTTCTTTACACTATTCCATACATTTTTATAAAGATGTCTTTCCTGTTTCGTATCATTGTTAATCCCGCACTTTACAATTTCATTTATGGGGCTGACAAATAGATCAATCAATTAAAGATTCAATGGGAAAAAAATTTTTTTATCAAGATGAATTTCCATGACGCTATTATTATTGGTGACGCATCGCATATACTGTACATTGTTATTCATTTATCATTGTTCAAATAATTATTAAATTCGTGTCACCATGTGAGCTAGCAATCATCAAGGAAAATTTTCGTAATGCAATGAATAGTATATTATTTTTCAAGGAATTGAAATTATGTAAAAGAACGAATCTGTGGGTTCTAATATTTTCACTAAGATATTTATCACTTGTTACCAAGATCTTTTACTTTATATTTCATAAAAGAAATAATTTAATAAGTTATTGTTAAATTAATTTATTAATTCACAATATAACTAATAATAGGTTTAAATAAAAATTTTTAAGTATAGGTTTAATTATTGACTATCTAAAAATTCTTATAAATAAATTTAATGTAAATTATTATATTTATTCTGCTAAATAATATATTATTATAAAATATATAAATATACTATAAAAATGAAATAAAATTAATTATATGTAATTTAATAAAATTATATTATTATATTATATAATACTGAATTGTTTCTATATGATAAGGCAGTGTTTACAATTACTTTAAAATGACCTTGAAATAATCTCAAATGATCTTATATAACCTTAAATGACCTCATTTATATTATAATTTCAAGTCAAAATGACCAAGATCATTTAAAAAATGCTTATTTATAATTTGAGCTATATTATGTTAATTACTTAGGGTATCTTTTTATTTATCATATCTTGTCAAACTATTACTATTTTCATTTTTACTAAGTATTCTAGAATTTTAAAATTTTTTATTATGAAATTCCTAATTGTCACATATATCATTTAACCAATTTTAACCTTTTATATATCATATAATCAATATAAAATAGCATAGATTATAGATATGCTAAAAAAATAGTAAATAATTTCATAATTTGCCATTATTAACATAAGGAATTTAACCCTTTTTATAAGGTAGATAAAGAGATTATGGAAAATCTATAAAGATAAATAATATATGTATCTTATATCAGAATTTAAAAGAAATATTTAAAGAAACTATAAATAATATTTTTTCTATTTCTCAGATAATTCTTAATAAATTAATATAAATCTATATATAAAATTCTGATAGAAATAATAAATTTATCTAATATTTTATTTTATAAGTATTAAAAAATAAACTTATAAAAATGTAAAGGCCTAATAGTTTATAAAAAATACTTAACATCTAATTTTTAATTTTATCAAATTTTAGAACTATAATGAAACTTCTCTAAATGCATTTTTTCTAAATACATGCATATGTATTTTTCTATAAATGCACATTCTACATAGTTCTAAGTATATAAAGATCATATAAAATTTCTCTCTTTAAATACACATATTCTTTAAATACATATTTTTCAAATTTTTACTATGATTTTAAGAAGTATATTTAGAGAGGTCTCACTATATATAGTGTAAATATCTTAGTCATATTAAATAACTAAACTATGTTTGAAATTTATACTGATTACTATCTTATATAACTCATGATTTTATTAGCCAAATTTTTATCATATAGAAGGTTTGCTAGGAAAATGGGTTTTGAGCAATTTTTATTAAAATTTTAATATATGTTATATATGTTGCATTTTAATCTAATATTATCAAAAATTAAAATGCAATAAAAATTAAAATTTTAATAAAAATTTTTCAGAGTCCTATTTTCCTAACAACTTTCTATATGATTAATTCATATCACATGATTAAAGCATTTTATAATATTTTTAATAATACTCAATAACTTTAACATAATTTTTATTCCTTTAATTATTAAAATAAAGTAAATAATTCAGATATATTTAAGAAAACTATCAAAAAGCATTAGAAATAAATATAAAGTTTTGAAGAAATTACTCAATTATAATATGATAGACTATCTAATACTGAGCCTGATAATTTTAATAAATTGTATTTTAATATATTTTAGAAAGAAGATGAAAAAGCATACTTAGATAATAACAAAATCTCAGATCAATTGTAAGCATTGCAATCTCTAAAACAATTATTTAAAAATACAAAAAAGTTAGATATGTAAAATGTAAAATTATGTAAACTAATATACAAAGTGTTGCATAATCAATATTATATAATAGAAGA